ATATATATATAATTCATTGAAATCAACTTAATGTGTATATTTTGGGTCGGATAATGTGTATATCAAATAATGACAATTTTTATATTTTTTCATAACTACATATTTTTCCCATATTATAAGCATCATAAAGTAAGAGAAATTATGTCTTTTATTATGGCTTAACTTTTCTCGGATTAGGTGGCTTAATTAGTTGTCAATCAAAATTAATTATTTCCAAATTACCTTTATACATATTTATTAACTGCCATGATTAACTATTTCCAAATCAATTCAAATTAAATCAAATCATTTCATTATATAATCAATGATTTCAAAATTTTAGATTGTCACTCATTTTAGAATTCAAATTTTGAAATTTTAAAATATTTTCAAAATTACGTAATAATCCAGTGTTCTGAAAACCGGACCGGACATTGACCCGGCCAAGCCATCGGGTCATGGTTGGACCGGTTCAACCGGGGTCCAACCGGTTTTTGAATAATTTATTTTTAATTATTTATATTTAATTTATATAAATACGTAAAAATAGCCTGTTTATCACCAATATCAAATATTCATATGAGTAAACCATAAAATTATAAATCAAACCATAAAATAATAGAGAACATAAATCATAGTCATCTTATAATTAAAAACTCAAAATTTAACATTTAATTTAAATCAAAACTCAAAAATAAAAAAATTAAAAGGTCTTGCATCCAAAGCAAACATTTAAAATAAGTCTCACATCAAAATCAAATATTTAAAGTAAATAGTAAATGCATATGAAAGACACAATCATCTTCATATATCACTCTTCCTCGTACTCATCTCCAATTTCATCTTCATCTCCACCTTCATCTCCTCCATGGGATGTCATCACATCGAACTCATGCTCTTGACAATAAAAAAAAAACAATTAATCGATTGAAAATAATTTTAAACTATTTAAATTTCATGAAATAAAGTGCATATAAATTAAAAAACAAACCTTGTGTGCTTGACTCTCTAACGCCATCCTTTGGATATTCTTCTTGCACCATATTTTCAAGTTCATCATAGTCAAGTTCTCCTTCTTCCTCATTTTCCACAATCCAAAATTCCGTTTTTTCAATTGACTCGTAATCAACTGGATCGTATGATCTCTTGGAGACAACCAACCTAAATAATTATAAATAGTTGTAACATTAACATGAACAAAAAGAATTAATATAAGATAATTATTTGTTAAAAACTACAAAATTAACTTTAAAGACTTAAAGTAACTCACCTATTTTTCAATCGCAAATTATAATGATCGTAAACAAGATCGTTCAGTCTGTTATGCTCCAATATATTTCTTTTCTTGGTATGGATGCGTTCAAATACGTTCGAATTGCGCTCACATCCAGAAGAAGAAGCAGTTTGACTAAGAATTTTTATAGCCAATTTTTGCAAGTTTGGCGCGTCGAAACCGAACAATCTCCACCATTCATCTATTTTAAAAAAAATTATGAAAAACATAATCATTAATTAATAATTACTAATTAGTACAAAATGCATTTTGTAATTTATACATACTTCAAATATATAGTATATAAAATTGTAAAACAGGTAACAGCAGAAATAAAATAAATATTAAATAACAGTAATATGAATCGATCTTTACCTGGTCGGTCGATTTTACTTCAAGTTAATGTTGTCGGACGAGCAAAACATCTCTTGCGATCACGGAAAATTCTTAACTCATCCAAAATCGCTATGTTATTGACGTCCTCCATTTTATCTATCACATTCAAAACTCCACCCATAATCTCAGGCTCAGTACAAAAAGCAGATTTGTCATACTGAAAAGCAGGATTTAGATAATACGCTGTTGCATGAAGATCTTTACGCAGCATACGATCCCATCTACTGTCAATAATATCAACATGGGCTTATACAACTTTTTCTTGTTTTTAAATATATTCATAATCCCCCTTCGTGCTCTAAACATGCCCTCATAAATATAACCCATAGATGGTTTTTCATCAGTATCACTAAGACGCAAAAGTCGTATCAATGGCGTCATAACCCTCACAATCACCAAGCAGTTATTCCAAAAAATCTCATCCAACACAATTTGTTTTACTTCTCTACCTTTTTGCATCTTTAAATATTGCTTATAGTCAGGACTAACAACCAATGCTTGCAAATCATCATTATGCGCATACAAACTTTGTAATGCAATAAAGGTAGTTGCAAATCGAGTTGTACCAGGACGGATAATTTCTCGCCACCTCTTTCGATTTCTTAACCAGTTCAAGGCGAACTTATGATTATACACAAAAACAGTAACTTTTGATGCAAGAACGGCTAAAGATTGAACTGTGGGCATATCTCCAACATCTTTAAATATCAAATTAACACAATGAGCTGCACAAGGTGACCAAAAAATGAATTGATATTTCTCCATGAGTCTAGAACCCGCAGCTTTATAATTGGCCCCATTATCCGTTACCATATGAACAACATTACGAGGACCAACCCACTCCACAATATCATCACACAAATTACACAATGTATCAGCATTTGTGCAAATATCAGAAGCATCAACATATTTGATAAATGAAATCCCCTTTGGACAGTAAACCAAAAAATTAATCAAAAACCTTTGCCTAATGTCAATCCAATCATCCCCCATTATGGTACAACCAGTGTCAGCCCAAGTATCTCTAATAGAGTCAATCATCAACGTAACATGTGTCTTAGCATCATTCAATAAATTGACACGCAAAGCATGATAAGAAGGATGTGTATATCCATGACCCATACTAGCTATTTTATTGATCGCACCTTGAAAGTAAGGTGAAGTGCAAGCATTAAATGGAATACAAGCATCATAAAACCACAATGCAATGGCCAAGTCAGTATCTTTCCATTTGTCTTTACTTTGCATGCATGCTTTAATACTAGATTGGGAAGAAAGACTTACACCTTTTTTACAAAATGAGTCAATAGCATATGAAGCTTTCCTTTTTCCATTCGAAACCTCTGTTTGAGAAGGAATTTCCAGAATTTCATCTTCTTCGTAAGCATCTAAATCTTCAGCCATCGCTTTCTTGGCCTTAATTTTTTGCGCATGAGCATCCATCAAATCTTTGATTTCAAGCTGAACCTCTAAACTAACTTTTTGGCATGCACTCACTGTTTCTTTAACCCCAGAAAGGTGTTGCTTCATCCTATTAATGCCTCCACTTGCAAATATATTTTTTTACAAAATCCACAAATCCATATCTTCTTCCCTTTCGCATTTGTACCCTCAGTATAATAGTGAAAAGAATATAAATTCTATGTAATTAGATCTATTTTCCAATAAACGAATTTATAAATTTATAATCTGAAAAAAAAGTTTACCAGAGCGACGACAATTCCAGAACAACGATGCGGGTTATGGTTGATTTGGAGAACGGCAGCACTTGGAGAAGAAGAGAAGAAATTCTCTGTTTTTTTTAAAGAAAAAGGGGCTGGTAGAGCCTGGTACTTTTTCTAATAAAAAATACGTTCTGTAACTTATGTTGTCTTATTAGGGTAAAAACTAAAAATAGAGATTTGAATTATCAATTATTGTGAATCAGCCCACGTTCCAACTTCCTTTTCTTTTCTTTTTTTTTTCTTCTCGGCATTAAAACGACGCCATTTTGGATTTTTTTTTGAATTAATTAAAAAAGTGCATGTGCAGCCAAAAAACCGGTTTTGAGCCGGTTTCCGGTCCGACCGGTCAAAAAACCGGTTTTTGACATTTTGACCGGGTTTTTGTAATTTTCGATTTTATTGGTCTAACCGGACCGGACAAGGCACCGGTTCGCGGTTGAACCGGTCGAACCGGCCGGTCCGGTCCGGGTTTCAAAACATTGTAATAATCCATGCTATATAATCTCCCACAACAATGTGATTTTCAACACTCAATCCAACTACTTTATATTATCATATCCAATTATGTTTCCGTTTTAATATTTATATATAATTTGAAGCACTTGATCCAACTACTTCATATGATGATCTACTTCATATTATCATATGTATTTGTCTTTCAGTGTTAATAATTATATGTAATTTTCAGCACTCGATCCTCCACCTTCTTTTGTTCCTAATTTTTTTCCTCAACACGCACTCGATCCAAATACATATCATTAATATTCCTCACGTTTCTTTTAATTTTTAATGTTTTTTTTATTGAAATGGGATTTATAGTTGTAGGATCCGATATTTTATAAAATTAGATCCTCTATCAAGCTTAATTTAAATAAAATATTAAAACATCAAGTAAAACTTTTTTAGTACGCATTTTTCAACTTTTGGCACTACGTATGTTTCATCGCTATAAATTTTTATTAGTTAACTACATATCCCCTAAATTTATGCAATTCGTTTTTATATATGAAATTAATTACTAAAATTTTAGATATCTTTATGCCCTAATTTGAATTACTCCTCATAATCTTCATTCAAATTCCCCCCATCAAACTAAATCAATAATGTTTTCAACTATACTTTTTTATAGTTTCTTAGATTATTCCAAAATCTAAAGGGGTAGAAAATTCTATCATTGGTAATAATTGGTAATAATTGGTAGATGGTTTATTATTGTTTTTGTAATGATTTTTTGTTTAATAATTTCTATATAATTACTTTTTATTTACCCTTCATTTTCGGTCATAATTATATTAGTATTATTATTTGAGTTGCATCAGTATTAGTTGTAGCATTACCATTAGCAGCAGTAGAATTAGAATTATAATTAGCATTAGTATATTAACATTAGAATTAGTATATTAGGATTAACATTAGCATTAGTATATTAGGATTAGCATTAGTATTGACATTAGCATTAGCATATAAATATTAGTTTAGTATTAGTATTAATACTAATATTTGTATTAGCATTAGGATTAAGATTATGATTAGCATTAGCATTACCGTTAGCATATTACAATTAATATTAGTATGAATATCAATATGCATATTAGTATGAATATTAACATTATGATTATGGTGCATATTAGTATTAGGATTATGATTGGAATTATTACTGAAAATTAGCATTAACATCAGCATTAGCATTAGCATATTAGAAATAGTAT